GGAGAAAAAAAAAAGTTCACAAAGATGACTGTCACAGCAACTGAGTCTGACAGTGTATCCAATTGTCTACCCAAAGGATCTCACCTCTGCAAAGAGGGGAGGGAGGTCCATTTCCTCATGTCTTCTCCAGGGCTAAGCTTTTTAAGGACCTTTTTTTTTTTAAAACAAATTTTTATTGATATATTTTGTTTGTTTTTTTTAATCACCAGAATTTTTTCCAGCATCCCTCCCCCTCTTCCTCAAAGACAGCCATCCCATATAACAAATAATACTTTAAAGACAAAACAATAAAGAGGAGGAAGAAGAAAAAAATCAGCACAATTGATCATACATTGAAAAAGTTTGAAAACAGATGTCATGTACCACATGTATAGACCTCCCACCTCTGTAAGAAGCAGGACAGGAGGGTTTTCTCATATCTCTTCTTTGGGGCCTTACTTGTTCTTTGTAATTTTGCAACCTTCACTTTTGATTATTTTGGGATTTTTCTTTCTATTTATATTGTTGTAGTCATTGGGTATAGATAGGTCATGATTACTTTGAATAATGAATACCCCTAAAGGGGTCGCATAATTCTAATTTGAACTGCATGTTTCCATTGGGCTGGAAGTAATTACTGTGGTTTCCATAAGTATAACTTTGAATAGGATGAATTCAGCTGTATATACACTGTCACTTCAGAAGATTCAGTATCAGTGCTAATCTGGACCTGGCTGAATATTGATTTCTTGGCTTTGATTTTCCTCTGCATCAGATTGTAGAAATCATCTCATGACTCTCTGTACTCATAATATTCAACATTTCTTTCTTCCTTTTTTTGGTAAGGCAATTGGGATTAAGTGACTTGCCTAGGGTCACACAGCTAGTGTCAAGCATCTGTGGCCAGATTTGAACTCAGGTCCTCTTGACTCCAGGGCTGGTGCTCTATCCATTGTGCCACCTAGCTGCCCCTATTCAACATTTCTTACAGCACAGTTGTATTCTGTTACATTCCTATATCCAAATTTGTTCATCTATTCCCCAATTGGTGGTAAGGCTCATCTTTAAAAAAAAACAACAACAACACTATTTCTGAAGAATTAAAAGTTGTGGGTCACATCAAAGGCTCAGTGGATAGATGGTCAGGTATCAATCAATCAAAAAGCTCTTATTATGTGTGGGGCACTTCATACTGTGCGCTTCTTTGTGTCGATGGAGATACAAAGAAAGGTGAAACTAGCCCACGTTCTGTTTCTGGCACATACTAGAAGTGTGACCTTGGGCTAGTCATTTGTCAATGCCAAGGAAAATCTCCAAGACCCTGGGAATAGATGGGCAGGTGTGGATGCATCATGATTTTCATCTTTTGGAGCAAGGACCCACACTGAAGAGATCTGAGAGTCATTAAAGTATTTGAGTTTGTTCTTGAAGATGACCATGACATCAGGAAGGTGATGTCATGATTTCCAAATGAATTGTATTTAAGTGAGGCAGGGCTGTTCAAAATCACCAGCCTCACTTTCACCTCCATAGCCATCTGGGACCAGTGGCAAGATATAGATCAGGATGACTGGAGATGGTCCAGGATGCAGTGGGGGACCTTGGCCTTTTTAAGCTAAGATCTTTCCCAGGTCTCAGTTTGTCTGAGGCAACACCCATTCAGTGATTAAGGCTAGGTAAGAAGAAATGAGGCAAAGAATGACCTCTTTTACCTAGTTCAGAAAAAAAAAAATCAATCTGGGAAAGGAAGATCTGAGATTTCTGGTCAAAACAGAAACAATTGCTATCTCTCCCAGATTTTGTGAGCATTGCTAGCTTTGCAGCTCATTTTGGGACATTTGCAGGACTCTGCACCCCACATTTGTGTTTCATTAGCCTGGGAATTCACTCCACTGACCCAAGTCCTCTGAGGGCCTATAAAAATTATGGCAGCTCTTGAAAGACTTAAGAAAGTCTGATCAAAGGGGCAGTTATGTGGCACAGTGGATAGAGCACCGGCCCTGGAGTCAGGAGGACCCGAGTTCAAATCTGGCCTCAGACACATAACACTTACTATCTATATGACTCTGGGCAAGTCACTTAATCCCAATTACCTCACAAAAAAAAAAAGTCTGATCAAAGCAATGACCCCCAAGTTTCCAGAGGACCTAGGAAGAAGGGTGTTACTCACCTAGGGACAGAGAGAGATGATGGACACTGTAAGTGCAGAAAGAGACTTGCATTTTTGCCCTTGGCCATTGCCTGGGATTGTTTTGCTTGATCGTATTTATTTGTTATGAGAACTTTTCTCTCTTTCTTCTCTCAGATGTTAATGGAGATAGGAGTGGGGATTGTCAACCTTGGAGGCAAATAAAAAAAAAAAGAGGGTCACTGTAACAGTTTTAAAATGCAAAGAAAACAAAAAGAGGCTTTGAAGGAAATCCAGACCCACTGGACAGTTTTGAAAGTAACATGTTATCCTCTTTAAAAAGTAAGTGGTGGGAAATACTGGTGACCTTCTCTTTGCGTTCTGCTATGTGTATTGAAGTATTTTTTTTTTTAAAGTTCAAAATTTTTAAATTAATAAGAAAAGGAAATAGTCATGGCCAAAAAATTCTTCACCTGGAAGTTGAAGTGGTGATGCACCTCTCTATGCTTTGCTGGTTTTTGGACAATAGACCTTCAGCTGAGCCTGGGCTCAGTGTTGAGGATTCTCCAGCTTCTTGTGGCCAGAGCTTTTAGTTTTTCAAGAACTCAGGTTCATCATAATGCTGAGATAAGGTATCACATTAAGACTTCGGTGGAAGCTTTGCACACAGTAGGGGCTTAATAATAACAGCACATATGTTTATGTATATTTTCATGGAAAAAAATCCTTATTTGCAAAAAAAATACTAAAAAAGAAAGAAAAAGGATAAAATACCTCTCAGGGTTGCTGCAAAATATAAAATAAATTGACGGTGTTTTATGTGGAGCAATAAGATGCAGGGAAAGTAGTCTGGGTTTGGAACCAGATATCCTGGGTGCTATTTGGAAAAATCAAGTCACTTCTTTGGGGGGGGGCAGTTTGCTCATCTGTAAAATGATGGCTTAGAACTAGACAGCCTCTGAGTTTCTTTCCAGCTGGAGATCTTCAGCCCATAATCCTGTCCCTGTGACCGTGTTCAAGCCATGTCATCTCTTGGCCTCATCTGTGAAATAAGGTGGTTTTTGATCTCCATTTCAGTTCCAGATATCTGGGTAGCTTTGGTGGAGCTGAGATCTCGTCCTGGCAGGAACTCTCTCCTCCGATGCTGTCCAAAACCACGCGTGCCTGGCCATCTAGTGAGATGTCTGTCCATGTTCTGCACAGGAATCCTGCACGGGAGCGCACCTCTCCTGCTGGGAGCCTTTTTCTTGCTCTTTTGACATTTCATGGATGACCACTGAACGTGGAGATGGTCCATTGAGTAAACCACGCATTGACCCACATTCTCTGTGGTCTCACATCTCTCTGATGACCCTCCTTTATATTGCTTCTCTAGTCTAATTCTCATGTTGTACTCGTGCACACTGATCAATCAATAACCAATCAATCAAACAATATTTAGTAGGCACCTAATCCATTGCCCTTTGGTGACCCTTGTCTTGAGTCTGTTTCAGAATGTAGCATTCCATGTTCCACAGTCCCAGAGTATCACCTGGTGAACATCATTAGAAACATGGGCTCCCATTTCAAGGAAACATTTGTCGTCATTAAAAGCACTGCAACATTTCTAAAAGACTTCTTTTATTCAATGTTTGGCCTAGTTCACTGTCCGTCCTCATCGTAGTGATGGACCCTTTTGTTGAGGTCATAATATTGACAACTTGATAATAATAATAAATATTTCTACAGCCTTTAATGTTTACAAGGTGCTTTACATATGTTCTCTCCTTTGATTCTCACCACCCTTTGAGGTAAGTGCTCATATTGTCTTCAGTTGACAGATGGGGAGACTGAGGCAGACAGAAGTTAAGTGACTTGCCCAGGGTCACACAGTTAGGACGAGTCTGAGGCTAGATTTTAATAACAATAACAACAACAACAAAGTTTCCCATCTCGGCCTTTCAGAGGCTGTTCCTCCCTCTTGGAATGTATTCTCGTCTCACTTCTGCCTCCTAGAATTCCTAGTTTCCAGTTCCAAGGATATTTCCTGGAGGAGGACTTTGATGCTCCTCCACCCTCCTGAAAAAGCATCTGGTATTTATCTGATAAATATTTTGTATGCACTTTTTTATCTATATGGTGATGCCACTCAATTCAATTTACATTTATTAAGCACCTACTAGTGTGCCAGGCACTGTGCTAAGCTCTGGGCATACAGAAGAGGCTAGAATATAAATTTCACGTTCGTCTACATTTGTAGCCCTAGCTTGGCCGTCAGCCCATAAGCATTTATTAAGCACCTATGTTGTGTAGAGCCACATGCTGGCACATAGTGGGCGCTTCATAAATTCAAATTGATAGACATTCTACGGCATTCACAGCCAATCCTGTTAAGACCTTTGTCCGGCGTTACGTTTCTTTTGCGCATTTATTTATTGGGTGTATGAATGTCATTTCTCCTCCAACCAGACTGGAAGCTCTTTGAGGGCACGGACTCTCATTTTTGTGCTAGTCCAGATCCTAGGAATCCTTGCAGGTTGCGGAGAAGAGGCGGCCTGGACCTTTCGGAAGTTCCCAGGCTCGGAGGGCCGCTCCACCTTCCTCCAGGCCCTTGGGAGGGTCCAGAGCGGAGGCGCGCCCACCTCTCCAAGCGCCCCGGGGCCGCAGCGGGCCCGCGAACGCGCGCATTTGTGCGGGTGGCGCTACTCGGCACTGTACGGTATGTGGGCTGGCCCCAAATCCCCATGTGGTCCCGACATCATTGACATGGCGGAATCCTCCAGCAAAAGCTGCTGGTAGTTATTTTAGCGGCGGCGACGGCGGCGGCGGCTGGAGGAGGTGGAGGAGGAGGTGGAGGAGGAGGAGGAGGAGGAGCAGCGGAGGCGGCGGCGGCAGAGGCGGAGGCGGCGGCGGCGGAGGCTGGAGGGATTTGTCGGGCTGCCTGGCTGGAAGGGAGGGAAGGCAGGCCGGCAGGCAGGCAGGCAGAGGGTGACCCTGTCTCTTACGCGTCCCCCGGCACCCACCCTGTTTCAGCCCTCAGGAAGGTAAGGAGCGGCCGCCGCAGCGGCCCGGGAGGGCGGGCGAGCGGGCGGGAGCCGAGTAGCAGCCCCAGAGCCCAGGCAGGCGGCGGGGTCCCGCGCCTGGCCAAGGCATTGGAGGAGCGGGACTGCCCCGGAAAGCCCCGGAGCCGAACCCAGCCCCGCTAGTGGGCTCTGGGGAGCCCCTGGGGTTTTGGGGGTCGTCCGCCTTTCCGAGCAGGAAAACTTCAGGCTTAAGTGGGGAGGCTCCGCTGGAGGCGGAGAGGGGCTGGGGTGCCCCGATCCTCCCGCCCTCCCCCTTTCCCACCCCACCCCCACTTTCCGGGCTGGGGGAAGCTGGTGGGGGGGGATGCACCCAGGAAAGGGGGCAGGGGATGGGGATGGGCGCCTACCGAAGTATGGAAAGTGGGGGGGAAGCATTTAGTGCGAAGATTCTCTCCCCCTTCCCCCAATCAGTGCTTTGCCAAAAAAAACATTTTTCCAAGAAAAAGAAAAACCGGCCAATTTTAATTTCTTAACGTTGTGCCTCCTCCCTGCTCTAGCCCCTTGGCACCCCTGTCCCCTGCCCCCAGGTCCCTTGTCTCTGAGGTGGTGCAAAAGCGATCCCCCCGCCCCCCATCTCGGTGGCAGGATCGCTGCCTGAAGGGGAGGGGAGAGGAGGGAAGGGGGTGCGGGGGGGGTGGAGGGAAGGAGGCAGCGGCGGAATCTTCGACGTGTCACTTTCCATATGGTGTGAGGGTTCAGCCCAGACCCATGAAAGAGCGCAAAGTGCTGCTGAAGTTTGGACGACTTTTGTGTGTGCGCCGGGGGGCGGGAGGGGCCCTCGGCGGGGCGGGCTCGGGAGGTGAGGATGCCTCTTTATTTTATCCCCCTTTCTCCCTTCTCCCCTTTCCCCCTTTTGTTGGGCTTTTGTAGCAGGGGATGACTTTGGGTGTCGGGACGCTGGGGGTCTGGCGGCCGCGGGCGTGGGAGAAGGGTCCGGGTGCGGGGCGGGAGGCTACAAAGTAGCAGTTTTTCGAACCTTCGCCGCCCGCCGAGCCCGGGAATCCCGGGCAATTCCTGGGGCACTGCGGGGCTCCCGGACTCGGGTCTCCTGGCCGGGGCCCTGACATTTCCCTACTCTGCTCCCCCGCCCCTTATGCCCTCCTGCTCTACCCCTCCCCCCCAGCCAAATCCTTTCCTCCATATCTTCACTTCCCCAGTTTCTGGGCTTCCTCCCTGCCTCCCTTTGCTGCTTTTGGAAAGCTGTCGGCAGAGTGGAGGGGCTGTTCCCAACTTAAAGAATTGGGGTGGGGGGAAAAGGGAGGACGGTCAAAAGACCCTCTCCCCTCCCTCCGGCTCCCCTCCTTTTCGCATTCGTTCACCCAGTTGGGGGAGCTCGGTCTAGTTGGGGAGGGAGGAGGAGTAGAAGGATGAGGAAAAAGAGGCCGAGAATCTGTGCCCAGAGGCTGGGAGAGCCTAGAGCCTGGGAGGGAGGAGGGAGGGGCGCGGAGGCACCTAGGGGCCCAGGGAGCTGGAGGTTAAGGCTCAGGACCCAGTTCCTGGCTGGGGGCTGCACGAACCCTTTGGCCCCCAGGTGACGGGCCTGGGGCAGGGGGAGAAGCGCCGGGCGCTGGAGGAAGTGGGATGGGGGGGTCGGAGGATGGGGAGGGTGAGGGAAAGGTCTGTCACTCAGGTGGTAAAAAAAAAAAAAAATGGGGAAAAACCCGGAGGCGTTTTGTGGCTCCAGCAGAGGCGCGAGCTCTCCGCGTAAATTTTTCCAAAATGTCTGGATACGGGGGGTGTGGGGGACGTTTGGAGGGGGAGACTCGGGACCTAGCCAAGGCAACTTTTCTACCCAGATGTGTTTGTGCCTCTCCCAGAAGGGGTCTGAGCCCCGGTTTGCAGGAGAATATCGCCGAGTTGGAGCAGTTGTTGAGCTGGGCTGGACTGGGGGAGTAGAGATGGGGGGGGGAGAAATGAGGATTTTTCTTTTGAGTAAGACTTTCTGCTAAGCCCTCCCTCTGCCATCCCAGACGAAAAGAAAGAAATGGCATTTTACCAAGACGTATTACTGTTTGCCAACTCTTTTATAAGTTCAACTTCCCCCCCCCCCCCCAGTGTTTTTCTTTAAATCATATTTGGATTTGGGCCGAGGCTGCCTGACTGACACTTGGTGGGGGCTCCTTCTAGAAGTATTTAACTCCATCCATGTTGATTTGTGAGTCTTTTCTTCCTTCCCTGCTCCCTCCCTCCGCCCCTTCTCTCCCAGGCTGATTCAGACTTTGCAGCCATCCTGCTCTTTCTGTTGGGTGGGCACCTCATGATTGCTTGTCTGTTTATTTTTTAATGTGCAGCTAATTTGGTTTGAATTTCCTCCAGTTTCCAGCCCCCTGTGGAGGGAAAGTCTGTGTGAGAGAGGAGGGAGAGAGAAAAATAATCCTCTGACTTTTGTGCCCGGTAGGGGAGGGTCAGTGGTGGCCTGGGTGAAGAGGTAGAGAGCCCTGGGCAGACAGAAGAGAAGCATGCACAACAGGGGACGTAGTTTTAGGGGAAGCACCTCCCGGTAACCTCTTTTCAGAAGAAATTGCAAAAAAGGAAACAATAGTTCTATTAATGCCCTCAGGTGATCTTTAGATTATTCTAAGAAGAACCCTTTGCCCATTCATAACTAATGCAAATTCAATCCAGAAAAATCCCATTTTAGCAGCATAGAATTTTAGGACCGGTAGGTACCTTAGAGCTCACTTTGCCTAATTCCCTCATTTTCAGAATGGGGAAACTGAGTCATGAGGCTACGTGATTGGTCCGAAGTCACCGGTATTTCTAGGACTGTAAGCCAGGACTGGCCACTAATTACATCACCAGATGTCCTTAGATTCAATTTTTAAACCGCCAGTTTGATTCGAGAGATAGACCGGTGAGTTAGTTGCTCTATCCAAGTTCTTCAGATAGGTTTGATAAACAAATCTATAGATAGCTACAAATTTAAAAACGTGTATATTGCTGATGTTTGAAAAAAGGATTGTGCCGCTGAAGAAAAACATTCAGAATATTTGTTTTATTTTAAGAGCACAGTACAAATAAATAGCTGTTACTGGCGATGAAAAAAGACACTTAACAGCTGTGTGACTCTGGGCCAGTTACTGGATCTGTGCCTCAGTTTCCTCACCTGTAAAATGAAGATAATCACAGCATTTACTTCACTGGATTGTTGTGAGGATCAAATAGAATGAATACTTGTAAAGCACTTAGCATAGTGCTCTGCATGTAGTAGGTGCTTAATAAATAAATGACCATTTCCGTCCTTGAATTGGCAATGATTTGCCTCCCGATGACTTCACATGCATTGTCTTTGGAAAAGAAAATAATCCAGCTGTGGTTAATTTTTTTCCATCTTTGCTGTAAAATTGCTCATAAATGGGCCAGACTAATCATTGCTTTCCAGTTTGTGGGATACAGCCCACCTTGCCCCCATAAAGGGTGCAGTTATCATTGAGTGGGAACGGATATCTTAAACTTGTCAGCCAAGGAGGGCGCTTTTTGTACAAAGGATGATAATACGCAGTTTTTTTGACTAGTGATTTTGATTTAAATTCCAGATGATTGATTTGTACCCAGTCTAGGAAGGACTGAGGAAGGCAGACATGGACTGCTCAAAGGAGGACTGGGCTGGGAATCTGAGGAATTGTCTTCCAAGGGTGCTAAACTTGGAATCAGGATGACATGGGGTTCAAATCTTACTTCAGACACTTGCTATCGGTGTGACCCTGGGCAAAACAGAGCTGTAATTTCTGTATCAAATGAAGAGGTCCCTTCCAGCACTAAATCCATGGTCCCATGATCTGTTTTTGAATCCTCTGTGTGACCTTGGACAAGTCACTCAACATGGATAGGCCTCAGTTTTCTCATCTGTAAAATGGGGGGGGGGTGTTGGACTAATCCATTTAGTCCAGTTGGGTAACCTGGGGTCCTTGAAGAGATTTCAGGGGCTCCTTGAACTTTGGACAGGAAAATAATCATCTTTATTTTCACTAATCTCTTACTGAAATTTGATTTTAAATTACATTTAATTACGTTTCTTTTATTTTGAGGAGCTCCCTAGTTATCAGCAGATGACCAAAGACATCTGTGAAGGTTCAGAACCCCTGGACTGCCTAGAGAGAGGTTCTTTTAGACCCATTTTCAGCTATAATTTATGCTTTTAAATCATAAGTAAATAAGAAGATTTTAAATAAGTAATATCTAGGACATTTTTCCTAGGCGAGTTCCCATTCAGCTCAACCTTCTTTATCTCTAGTATTATTGCCTATATTATTGAATTGATTACTGAATTATTGATTATTGAATTATTCAGTTGATTATTGAATTATTGACTGATTGTTGAATTCCGTAGGCATCTGTCAGGGAGCCACTCTGTGGTGACCTGGGCTTGCTGTCATCCAGGAATGATTATCAGAGAATTTGATTGAGTTATGTTCAGAATGGTTGTATTGTATTATGGAATTTTGACACTTTGATAATTGATAGGCCGTAGTAAATAACACCAGGTTCTTGAACGTTTTGAGTGTAGAGGGTCATATTGCAGGATCAGGGTAAAATCCATAGGGCTAGCAGTTTATTTAGCAAATTATTTATTTATTTAGTAAAATCATATCCTTAGTGATTTATTCTGTGCTCATACATACATGCATATAGAATATGAACTCACAGGATCATTCAGGTTTTTCTGTGTACATTTTCTTTCCCACTGGTTGAATTTAAACTCTGAGGGTAAAGATTGTTTTGTCTTTTTGTAAAGGCTTAATAAATACTTGTTGAATTGAATCACACTAAATTTGTTGCATGTCAGGGTGCTTTGCAGTGGATTTTTCCTGTAGTTCCCCCCCCCCCCCCAAGGGCTGATTTTGGAATTGAGTTCTTGGGTCTGTAGCCACGAAATTAAAAGTATAAAGAAGATGATAGCCAATCTGTTCCAAGTGTAGTTATTGGCAGTTAGTATAGTCTTCTAAACTATGCTTGGACGG